TATATATTCAGCCGGAAGTTCGAAAATATTTTCGTTATACTTAACGGAAGGAGGGCTAAGGGAAGTATTGATCCGATTCAATCCAGTTTTGACATACAGACATATTATTATCAGGAAATAATCTTCTCTGAATTTCAATTATATAGGTACGGGGTCCATATATTCGTGCAAAGTTTTATCCCGATGCATTCATTGGTACTTGATTTGCATACTGGAAAGTGAAAAAATCAGATGGAATTTAAAATTGTGTTGGGAAGTAGGCATAGTTTTAGTTTTATTTCTGCAACTCTCGCACCGTAACCAATTTATCGCGCTTTAAGTATTTTTTAACAGTACCGTTAAGTGGGAAGCGGGATTCTCTTCGAATTTCACCCATTTTTATAGGGTATTTGGTATCATATTTATAGGGTTGGTATAAGTGCTTAAGGGTTTTGTTTTGAGCGAATTTGGCTATTTTAGCTTGAATGGTTTGGGAGATATGAACATTAACACAATATGTACTGCGATTCCCTTTGCCAAATTACAGTTCTATATCTTCATCTATTGCTTATTTTGTTTTCCGATTACGCCCATCTACAAACTCGTCCTTACTTTTTTTGCCAAGAAACATGTGTACTAAGTATCATGAATATATCTCAATTTTTATCGCTTGCACAGATGGGCAGACAGTCACTCGGATTTGAACTCGTCTCATCATCCTGACCGTTTATATATAAATAACCCTATATATCTCTCGATTATATTTAGGTGATACAAACAACCGTTAAGTCTCTCTCTCTTATGCTCTGTAGCAACATGTTGCAAGGGTATACAAACATCAAAAATGGTCCAAATATCCAAATAATAAATATTCCGATCTCATGAATTACTTGACGAACTTGAACATATTCTCGCTATAATCCGTGGGAATGTTTCCAACCATGAACATTGACGGCAGGTGTTTTGGTGCGAACTCTCTACGGCTTAGAATATAAACAAGGACCCGAAATTCTCTCCTCTTATCTGTATCTCTGAAAACTTGGATCACGTGTCGTAGAAGCTTTTTCTCTTCTCATTTTCCAACGAAGGATATTTGGATGGGGAAGAGTCGCAGGCGAAGAGGAGAAATGAGCTTTTTTACAGATGGATCGAAGCTAGGAGGGCCGGTTGAAGAGAGAGAATTCTGTAAGAAGCTCTCCGTCAAACTTAGCTTTAGGCTATCGGACCACTGTAGTGTTTTTCAGGCAGAAGTGGATCGTATTTAGGCAGAAGTTGACATACTGCTACGAATTGCTATCTCTTTCAAGGATGTGAGCATTAATTCGGACAGCAGAGCAGCAATACTAGCGCTGAGCTCACTATCTGTGCGCTCCACCAACCACGCATACATGTTTAGTGACAACATAGTTAAAATCTCTTTATTTAAACTAATAATAGATTAAAGTATGATCTTTTAAGAATGTTGTATAAAATTTTCATGAATAAATATTGAAAAATACGACACTGGTACAATAGCAATTATTCAAAAGTGTCTGGGAAAGTAGTAGGACTGGGGTGCCGCTCATAACATGGTGCTGGATCATCATTTTACAGACTTTAGTTAAATGCCGTTCGTATCAGCATTCACCACCTATCGATTTCTGTTCGCTCGAAAGTAGTGCGAAGAAATTGGTCTATTAGGGATTGGAAGAGGAATCACAAATGTTACACAATCACTATATGAATGTTGCACAATTGAACAACATCGGATCTACAGCACATTGGTGTGATGACAAAAAGGAAGCGAGCATTGGAAAAGCGCATAGGGGATGGCAATCCTTTTAGGCACAGTTCACTTTGATGTCGTGTGAATAGTCTTCGATCTCAGATTCTTATACATATTTATTCGGTGTACCTGTTTCTTTATATTACTAATTTGTTGCCAAACAAATGCCTAAAAATACCTTAAAACGACCAAATTGCGTTGCTCAGTTTCTCCTTTCTATAATTGCCGATTTCCGTGCCGTTCGGGTAACCTTTTGCTTCCGTGTGTGCAATTCAAGGTGAACTCATTGAGTAGGGGGAAGCGGGAATACCTGAATCTTGAGATTAACTTTGATAAAACTGTCTTTAATCACCGGTGCGGCATCGGCGGAAACGGCATTTAACGCGATTTAATGGTTTACAAACTCGCTTATGATGTGTGCAGCTGAAAGCAGATGCCACAAATTGGATTGAAAAATAATATCTGCGTATATTTCTAATGGAATTCTCAGCAATAAATAAATATTTGATTGTGCATTGCAACTGAATGCTTTGCTCTGATCAGATGCTTGCGGCCGTTTCCTGCCGAAATGGAAAATGCGATTGATCCGACAAATTTCGCAGTATAAATAATTTTTATGCAGCAGCTGAATGCCTCCACAGCCATATTTGCCGAAAGATTATCTTATTTAAAGCAGTTTCACAGTGCAAGGCAAATGCTGTACTGCACGGATGCCGAAAGAAGATTTCCAGTGCCACATTCATGTATGATACGACAACAAAAGCTACAACAAACATGTAAGGAGGGGTTCAGTTCGGGTATAACCGAACATTTTACACTTTCGCAACTTGCAAGGATCAAAGCCTTTATATTATCAAATATTGCAAAAGAATTCAACATTCAATATTCGACGAAATCGTAAATGAATTACAATCAAATTTGGTATATTATAGTTCATAAACTTAATTAGATTTATAACTATATTTCACATAGCGTCAGCGAAAATTATATTAAACCCATCCTTAAATAAGTTATATAATATCTGACATAAACTTAACCGAAGAGGTTGTATTGAGAAGATCGGCATCGATGATATTAGGGATATGAGATCAAGACCAAGGTCTAGACCAACTCCACTATGTTCAGCGCTAAACCATTATTATAATACGAATTGTAGGATTACGGAAATTATTATATGTAGTATAATATAATTTCACATATTTTCGGCATTAAAATGAAGTATATCCAATTATTATTCGTTCAGTTAATTTTGCTTATCTTACATATTGACTGATATATACGGTATAAGGCCAACTGTAAGTTTGAATATCCTTTATTATGTAAATGGGATATCGGTGTAGTATTGACCCGATTTTATCTATTTGTAGCAATGCAATATACCATTAACAGAAACAGATGCTCTTTGGGTTAGGTAAAGTCAACCGGACCTGAGATGCCATACCTTAAAGGCACTATTCATGCAAAGTTTAAAACAATCCTATATACCAAATTTGGATGAAATTGCTCGATTAAATCCAGAGATATGTGATTTCATCTATCCAATTTAGACATCTGCTCCTATATAGCCCTCTTGTGCCATCCTGGATGTAATATTGAATGTCTCTGACGCATTTAATTATTGATTTATCGCACTCTTAGTAGTTTTTAACGATTTCACATATTTTCACGCTGTCGGAAGAGGTATCGAAATGATCTGTCCTGTGCAAATTTGAATAATATAGCTTGAACAGTTTGGGAGATATGCACATCAAACCTATTAGAGGGTGGAGCCACGCTCAATTTTTTAATTTTATCAACTAGTGCCACTTGTTACTGCGATTCGTTGTACCAAATTACAATTTTGTATCTTAATTTGCGGCTTAGTTATGGCGATTTATAAGTTTTCGATTGATGACGTTGCAGTGGTCCGATTACGCCCATCTACGAACTGATCTTCCCGATTCGACCGAGGAACATATGTACAAAGTTTCATGACGATATCTCAATTTTTACTCAAGTTACAGCTTGCACAGGCAGACGGACGGACGGACAGACAGGCATCCGGATTTCTCGTCATCCTGATATATATATGGTCTTATGTCGATTAGTTGACAAAACTATTACTGTAGTAGCAACACGTTGCAAGAGTATAAAAATATCTTCAACGCATTGCGCTCAATTCCCTTATAAAATCCCAATGCACATGCATAATGGCAAAATAATGTTTTCACATGTTGTTATTCTTATCACAGGAATTCAATTATAGTGCTTGGCGTGCGTATGCCTTTGTCTGGTACATTATATTGGAAGCTCATCATTGTGCTGGGTTTTTCTTGTTCTTGTCAGAATGCGAGTACTCATGCAATATTTAAGATTGAACATAGTGGATTATATCGAGTAAGTTTATATAAGTATTTATATACGGAAAGGCGCATATATATACACGATACCGTCGGTGCACATATTAAATCTCCCTTGTACAGATTTCAACCGAATAGGTCAGTTATGTATGTAAAAAAAGTGCTACTCCAGATATCATGTATTCATTTACTGTACTTGTTACATAATGTCTTGGCATACTAATGCAACCACCAAATTGTCCTATTACGTACAGATTCCGACTCTCCAAGCTTACTTAAGTGTAGAAAGGTTATTTTTTGGTGAGGTGTGCCAAACCTCTAGCTACTCTAAACCGAAGATAAGCTAACGTTGTATTCTCTAAGTAAGAAATGGTTTCAATACGATCGTGTAATGTTTGTAACAATAACATTTCTTGGGAGAACTTTAGATGAACTATGTAAAAATTGCGACTGTTTTTTGGCCACCTTTGTGAGTTGACAACTTTTTGTGGGACTTGTCAAGTCAATCTTCATCAGTAAGGCATGCTATTATTTGGTATGATATTGGTTACATAAGGCCACCGATACTGGAAAAAGTGGTGCCAAATTGGACAAAAGACATATTCTTCATATGTTCTCGTGTCTACATGCCTGCAATGTCGTTAAAACTCTAAAGAACATAAAATTTGTGACCTAAAACTCGACTTATTTCAAAGAGTTCCCTACCTCCAAAATACACACTTTACAAGTGTATTCGTATGTTGACCTCAACGGCTTTTATTCTAAGTTGTGAATGCGGATAATAATTTAAACTATACTTAAGATGCAGATGTGCTAAAAAACATCGAGAAAATCAAAAACTTCGGAATCCAGTATTTTTGAGACTCCGTATTAGCTCTGTTATTCAACCCTGAACATGGTATATTAAGTTTGCCACGATGTTTGTAATACCCACGTGGTCTCAAATGCGTAAGTAGATATATTGTTAAAATAATATAAAAATTATTAAATTTAACTATTTGATACAATTCCATTAGGTGTAGTTAAAATCATACTTTCATCCTTGGTTTGGTTAAGTACAAAATTATATTTTACATTTTCATTTGGTGATAAATCAATTTTCCATACTAACCTTGATGGTGCGTACGTGGTTTCGAATTATATTAGGTCAAGTAAAAAGCTCGTTCGGTATTTATAGATGGCGTTATTGTCCATAGTACTATTGTTACGTGTCGCATCATGTCATACTATACGGCGCTGATTGACTCAGTACGTTGTGACCGCTCGTCAAAGATGACACCAGCAAAGAGATATATTTTACAAATTTTCTTCGATCAAGGCCAAAAAGCAGCCAAAGCGGCTGAAAAAATTAGTTTAGTTTATGGGCCCGATACTGTAGACGAAGATGCACCACACAGCGGGAGGCCTGTCGTCGAAACTTGCGATGAAATCATGGAAATAGTGGAAACAGACCGTCACGTGAGCACTTATTTAACAGCTGAGGAACTAAAGGTAAGCCAGAAAATCGTTTGGAATCATTTGCATAACCTTGGATTCAAAAAGAAGCTCGATGTTTGGGTGCCACACGAACTAACGCAAAAAAAAATGATGGACCCAATTTCCATCTGCGAGTCGCTGCAGAATCGCAACAAAATCGACCTGAAGCAGATTGTGACTGGCGATGAAAAATGGGTCACTTACGACAACATCGTCTACCACGAGCTGCTTTCCTATGGCCAAACGCTCAATTCGGCCCTCTACAGCCAACAACTGGACCGCTTGAAGGCAGCAGTCATCCAGAAGAGGCCATCTTTGATAACAGAGGCCGAATTGTGTTCCATCAGGACAAAGCCAGGCCACACACGTTTTTGGTGATGCGCCAGAAGCTCCGGGAGCTTGGATGGGAGGTCCTAATGCCCCTACCTTATAGTCCGGACCTGGCACCAAGTGATTACCATCTTTTCCTGTCCATGGCGAAAGCGCTTAATGGTGAGAAGTTGGCCTCAAGAGAGGCCTGTGAAAATTGGCTCTCCGAGTTTTTTGACGCAGCCTTCTACAAGAGGGGTATAATAAAATTGGCATCTCGTTGGCAACAAGTTTATGAACAAAACGGCGCATATTTGACTTAAATCTGACAAATGTACACAAAGTTATCATCTTTTGAAAAATCAATAAAAAACCGAACGAACTTTTTAATTTACCTAATTTTGTAAACATTAATTATGTGTAAAATCTTTCTTTCATCCTTGGCTTATTAATTATAACTACTTTAAATACTTTTATTAGGTGTGGTTGGAATCATCAAATCTATAGTGCCTATTTTATGGAGAAACGTGTTTTAGCACTAATGACTCAATTTCGAAAGGATTACTTACACTGATGTCGCAGCAAAAGCGGTAGAAGATGGAGTAGCTGGTATGAATAAAACCCAACCAGTACCTCAGTGTAAATAACAGCCTTCAACGTCGTCCAACGCTCAATCGCTACCACTCATTCAACCTCTTTTGAGTTTCCTCAATGAAAAAATTGAAGAGAAGTTTAAATCAAACAGAGTGAATGCAATAATTTCAGTTCGTCACTATCTCGAGTGACTAAATGTTTCACCAGATTGTTCATCTTTGGACTATTGGAAGGTAATTACTTTAGAGATCTTTTAAAAACGTAGACATCTTTAGATATAGAAACATATGTTTATGTAATGTATAGTTTTAGCACCGAATGTCTCTTATAAATTTGTTTTTATTTCCATAAAGAGCAACGAAAATGATCCGATGATGCTGAGTATCTGTGCCAGTCGATATCTTTGTATACCAGCTATTTCTACAGAGTCGGAGAGAATGTTTAGCCAGGTTGGATTGATAACATCAGATAGGAGAGCAGCTCTAAAGGCTAAAAATGTCAATAAATTACTATTTTTAAACGATAATAAGTGGATTATTGACGAATAAAGTTCTCTATTGAAACGTTGTTTAAGTATGTATAAATTTAGTGATCTCATTCTTCATACCTACAGATATGTATAAAAATTTATAGTTTTCTACCTCGTTAGCTCGCAGAGCAATTTATATAATAACATGAATAAATTTTGTATGTTACTTTATTAACTTTTTAGTATTTTTTGAGTGTATTTGAGAGAGCGCAACCGAGACGAAGACTAAAAGGTATGTGAAGATTAACTCAGCAATGATGACTGGAAAACTGATAACAAGTATTAAACGCGTTTGAACTTATGGCCCTAATTTAATTTAAAATGCAAAAGTACCAACAAAATGAACATGTTTACATGTGAGAATTATTAATAAATGCTTTAGATAAGTGCTGCAAGCAGAAAGAGGATTGTTGCTCAACGTCCTAAATATCCCTGACCTCGCATTTACTTCCTCCTATGGGATATTTACGTAAAATCGTAACAATTTGCTATAAAATTTGCTCGAGATACGTATGTCGATAGTAGCTTAAAAAGCAAGCAAGCGGCCACAATATTTTCAATGTTGTGTAACGCCTGAGCATATAAATTTTTAAACGCTTCTTAAAACACACAACCAACGACCCTATCTAAATATAACATATCTATATATATAATATATATCAGTAGTAGGGTGGTTATTTTTTTGTTTAATTTTTGAGTTTTAGTTCGTGATTCGAAATTTGTTCTCCACATTTCCAGTGCCGAGGACCTCAAAAAATCATATCTATCAGTAGCAAATGTACCCTAAATAGTTTAAAACTGCCGTGATAATGTCAATAATTGGAATCAAATATCCATCCAATTGGTCCAAATACATGGTAAACTGAAATACTTACGCTTTGTTGGTAAGAAACTTCTTAAAAACCCCTACTTAAATTAAGAAACTTTTAAGCATGCAAAATTTGTGGCTTATATAATCATTTTGAAAAGTTTCGTCATTCCGAGTAAATACCCTTCTGACACCGTTCGGCATGCTTACTAATGCATACTTGATAGCATATATAGAAAAAATTATCTCATCTCTCATGTTGTACGCACGTGTGTACGATTAATATTTTAGATGAGAATTTAAGATGGTTGTAACCGTAGAGAATACAAAATATTTATAGGAGAGTAGGGGTCATAAACGTGCAAAATGAGCAATCAAAGCGTCAATTTTATGCCAACAACGCCCTTTGAATATCTCAACCGAGATACGGCTCTTACGTAACATTCAGACAAATATTTGTATGTGTTGTTGGCAATGTGACAGTTGCTTTACATTTTCGATGGCTGATGCTTTATTGGCGTAATAAAGGGTTTGTGTGGCAAATTTAAGTATCTAATTAAATTGTGTCCGTCACATATTCATGTAGGGTGGTTAGGATTTAGGTTGCTTGCGAGTTCCTATACTGGTCATACATATCTGTAATCTCAATGGATGATGAAGTAGTGATTATCAGCTGATTTGCTTTATCATGGCTTAAGACTTTAGGTTTTTGGTTGATGACATGTTTAATTTTATACGTATAGAACAAATAAGACGCATAAATCATATAGACTAGCATAATACATAAGGCAGTGCTGCGGTTTTGAACCGAACAGTATTTAGTGAAATTAATTGAGACATTAACCAAATCAAAGCTGATCAGGAATGTTAGACACGAATCGAAAGCCGAATTACTTTTAAAAAAGCTTTATTTCGACCAATTAAATTTAATATATTATTATGCATTCTAAAAATATAGCTTTCGACCTTCTTTTCTACAAATTTTAAATCTAAGTAATAACATTCCAAAATGGGTGATGTTTGAGAGGTGAATTCTGATCTGTAAACTATCGTTTATTTGCAAAAATAATTTTAATGCATATAAAACGTAATATATATAACTCTTGTTGATTGTTTTAAGCCATTTTTACACCCTGAACAGGGTATATTAAGTATGCAACGAAGTTTATAACACCATTTCGAGGTTCCCTAATTTTTTAAAGAAAAAAATACACAAATTTCAAATTTCATGGGGAATGTTTATTATCATTTGAAATAATATTCTTTGGCATTAATTTTTTGAAGAAAAAATGTTGGTCGCTACGTCACATCTGTTGAGTTCAGTTTTCGATAACTCGTTTGAGCATTTCTAATGGTAACTGGCGAATGACATGCGTGATGTTTTGCTCCAAGGCCTGAATCGAAGCGGGATTATCCGCATATACCTTAGACTTTACATATCCTCACAGCAAAAAGTCTAACTTTGTAATATCCCACGATCTTGGTGGCCAATCGACTGGCCAAAAGGGAAATTATCTGCTCACCGAAGTTTTCTCTCAATATATCCATTGATTGCATGTGTGGGAAGTGGCGGCGTCTTGTTGAAATCAAATGTCGCCGAGTTCACGAGTTTCAATTTCAGGTATCAAATAGTCGGTTATCATGGCACGATAACGATCGCCATTGACGGTTACGTTCTCACCGGCATCATTTTTGAAGAAATATGGACTGATGATTCCACCGGCCCATACCCCACCAAACCGTTGTTTTTTCTGGATGAAATGGCAGCTTTTGAATCTCTTCAGGTTGCTCTTCGTCCCAAATAAGCCAGAAATGAGCCAGAAATGGGCCTCATCACAAGTAGAGCGAACCGCGCGAAACACATTCTTTACAGAACATGATTTTCGTTATAAAGTTGAACGATTTGTAAACGTTGTGTAGTCATAAGTCTTTTCATAATGAAATGTCAAAGAATACTGAACAAAAATAACATGACAGCTTGACACGACTCACGCGATATCTGTCATAAAAAAGGCTATTGAAAAAAGTACCCCTACTTCGATCACCCGTTAGATATCGATCTGAAATTTTGCACACGTCCTTTTTCCCAAAATCTTGCTAAACTGTCGGAACAGCGAAGTTTGTAACACCCGGAAGGAAACGTTTGTGTATATGTATATATATAAATTATCAGCTTGAAGAGCTAACTTGATTCAGTCATATCCGGTATTCGGTTCGTATGTATATACGCGAACTAGTCGCGCAGTGTTGAACATATCGGTCTGAAATTTTGCACGCGCCCTTTTCGATCAAAAATAATTTATTGTATGGAAAACTTTTTTATTTAGCGAGATATCTTCACGAATAAATTATTTTCCAACTCACTATAGCAAATAGGTGTTATGCAAACTGAACGATCAAAATCAAGTTTTTGTATGGAAATTTCTTTATTTGTGAAGGGTATTCTAGCTTTGGTACAACCGAAATAAATATTTTTGTTTGATTTTGTGTGTGTAATTTTTGAATCTTCTTGTGCAAGACCAGATGAACTCGGACTCAAATTAGTTTTATATGCGAAGTAGAAGTAGTTTTGGTTCGATTTGTCCAAGAGAATATTTAAGAAAGAATTAGGAGAATGACTTGAACTAAATTTGATCGAACTCTTTTGAAAATATAAAATTTCCTCTAAATAGGGTTGTGCCACGCCTAAACTAAACGATTAAAACAGATTCATATATGTAAGCTTAATAATTGTCATACATTATATTTAGTACTGTTAATACCGTTTATTTTCTTGGATTATACTGGTATACTATAAAATTTAAAGAAAATGGTTCAGTGCTTCTGCCAATTATTAAACTAATTTAAATATATGGATATTACTGAATGCTGTGTCTGGAAATTTTTTGTTATTTCCACGAACGTTATTAGTATTACCTGACCTACTTTCGAGCGAATTGCGAATATTTCACTCATTTATTCGAAAATCAAATTAATGTCTTCAGCGCAGTTGTCTATGAAAATGCGCTTTTCATGATGCTCAACATTACTCCGCATTGCAGTTGAATATTTCTTCTCACATATTATACACCTCGGCAGTGAATTTCCTTGCAACATGACCAACACATTTAAGCTGAGTTCTTCTATTTAAGCTCGGCATTTGTCTGAGTATTGCGTCGGCTTGGGCAACTGAGTGCAGCAGATGACCAATAATGGCTTGGTTCAGCTCGCATTGAAGCGATGCGGAGGGAGAGGCGGAGGCGGTTTGACGTGATGATGAATGGCGTCTGGTGCTGAATTATTACTGCGTTAAATGCAGTTTTTCGGCTTTGAAAGGATTATCGCAGTACGCATTCATACGTCTACTAGTGGGAACGGTTCGCTTGTGTTTCTGTAAACAAGTTCACTTTGATGTAGTGGTGGCTTGAGAAGATTAGTTGGTTGGATGTACCTACAAGTATATCGATAGGATGAAGGCAAAGATGGAGTTCGTTTTGTATAACAATTTCTATAAAACCTTAAATGGATTTTCGATTTAAAATATTTAGGTAAGAGGTATGTACTCTCATCTTCTCCATTCAGATTCATTCTGTCATTTAAGGATTTTACTTCATTATATGAACCGCGAGTAGATCAATCCATAGATGTGCATACGATGTTAGGAGTATTTTTTGCCAGGAAATCAAAGCATGTTATTCAATTGATACTCGTCCGGTTATTTTAGGTGTTAGAAGTGTTCTTTCCATAGTGGGCTTAGTTGACTGTTTGGATTTATCTAGAGCCAATCGCTTAGACGTATTATGTTTTTTTCTGTTTTAACCAAAAACAAAAATAATTCGAAAATTATTTAATTTTTTAAAATTCATTTAGTTTGACTGATGGATAATACATTGTAGCATTTCATAAGTATAGCTAACTATCTAAGAGTAAAAAAACTCTCTCACAAAAAATTTCAGGAACAGTAAGGCAGGGGGAGGTTGGGTCCAATCCTAATTCTCGATTTTTCCTAAAACAAATAAAATATCAGTCAATGTATAAGATATTCCAATGAACTTATCCTGAAAAAATATAGTGTGGTGTCCACAATAGTTGAAATTGGTTCAGGACTGCCGCTTTCCACTTGACTTTATACCGTATATGTCGGTCAACGGCAAATATGAATGAAATCGGTCTACATGTTGGCCTAGCCTTCATAAGTAGTTAGAACTTTCAAAGTCGGTGGAATCAGAAATTGCTCATCCGCTTGGTCTGAATTTTTTTTAACAATCTTCTTGATAGTACTTTTTTTTACACCTGGCTTAATTATTCTTTAACAGAATGCACTATATTTTGTACTCTCGCAACCTGGTTAGGTTATACAAACACCTAAACTAATCGAGTTAGATATAGCGTTATGTATATATAAATGATCAGGATGAAGAGACGAGTTGAAATCCGGGTGACTGTCTGTCTGTCCGTCCGTCTGTTCGTCCGTCCGTGCAAGCTGTAACTTGAGTAAAAATTGAGATATCTTTATGAAACTTGGTACACATGTTTCTTGGTATCGTAAGACGGTTAGTATTGGCGTAATCGGACCACTGCCACGTCAACAAAACGCCATTAATCAAAAACAAATAAATTGCCATAACTTTGCTTCACAATGAGATACAAGACTGTGATTTGCTATACAGGATTACATTAGGGAGGGGCGTCTACAGTTTAAATTCTTTTTAGGAAGTGGGTGTGGTCCCGCTCCTTAATAGGTTTAATGTGCATATCTCCTAAACTGATAAAGCTATAATAACAAAATTCACTGAGAACTTTAGAACCTCTATCCACAGTGTGGAAATTGGTGAAATCGGGTGACAACCCCGTCCACTCCCCATATAACGGTACGTTAAGAACTACTAAAAACGCGATAAATCGAGCACTAAACACGCCAGATTAATTAAATTTTAACTCAGGGATGGTATGAGATTACTTTATAGAAATCGCGTTCAAAATTAGACAGTGGGCGTGGCACTGCCTACTTTTAGGTGAAAACCCATATCATGGGATCTGCTTAACCGATTTCAACCAAATTCGGTACATGACATTCTTTTTGTACTTCTATGTTATATCAAGCAACAATGATTGTATCTGGGTAAAACTTTGCGTGAATATTGCGTTTGAAGTGTGCCACCTTGTGATCAAAAATTGTATTGTATATAACCAAAATTGTTTAAGCCCCTTTTTTCTATTCTATTCCCAAATATTCCTGTTAATATACTATTAAGGAAGAAATAAATTAAAATTATTAACAAGTATGAATAGAAGTAGCGTTCGAAATTTCTAAAGGATCGGTGTTTAGAAGTTATGAGGAGCACCAACTTTGAACCATATGGTATGAAACAGGTATAAAAATACTCATAACTTCGTCAATTTTGCTTTAATCGAAATGAAATTTCGAAAAAAAAGTTTAAAATCCTACTCCCTCCTTAAATATGTTTGGCTAAATGACCACTCAATCCCCTCTCACCATAAGACACTGTACACCACATCATTTACATCCACATTACTACACCTACTTACCATACATTCCACATCACTACACCGTACACCAACACGCACACAAATACAACATCACCACGATCACACCACCATGAGGACATCAAGAAATATATAAGGGACTAAAAAAAGGATCTCGCTCGCTTTTTTCGCATCGATTCGTCCGAAGCACAGCGCATCTTTCGCTTTCGCCTAAATTCGATTTTATATCAACTTGGTTTTTTATTAATGCCTTTAACGGCGAGTGAAACCAAATTTAATAAATTCAGTGCTTAATTATGGTATTTCGAGCCCTAGTGGACGGCACTATGGGTTGTTAAACATAAAAGAAAAAAAAATTAAAATAACGTGAACAAAAAATTGTAACGTGAACAACAAATAATGTGCAAAATAATGCAAAAAAATGAACAAACAGTAAAAAAAACAAGTAAGGAAGGGCTAAGTTCGGATGTAACCGAACATTTTATACTCTCGCAAAGTCAAATGGTATACTCGTTTGAGATTTCTTTGTGGATTGACTGATATTTTCGGTAGAAGGTCAACTATAGGCACTGGGGTCCACATATTTAGTACTTAGGAGCTTAAACAGTTTTGGTTCGATTTAGACAATTTTTGGCCACAAGGTGGCATACTTTAATCGCATTATTCACGCAAAGTTTTACCCCGATATAATCATTGTTGCTTGATATGCATAGTGGAAAGTGAAAGAATCAGATGGAATTTAAAATGGTGTTATATGGGAAGTAGGCGTGGTTGTAGTCCGATTTCGCCCATTTTCGCACTATGACATAGAAACATAAAAATAACGTTATGCACCGAATTTGGTTGAAATCGGTTGAGCAGATCTCAAGATATGGGTTTTCACCTAAAAGTGGGCTGTACCACGCCCACTGACTAATTTTGAACGCGGTTCCTATAAAGCCAATTTATACCATTTTAGAGATAAAACTTAATGTCTCTGGGGTGTTTAGTGCTTGATTTATCGCGCTTTTAGTAGTTTTTAACAGTACCGTTATATGGGGAGTGGGCGGAGTTGCCACCCGATTTCAACTATTTTCACACCGTCAATAGAAGTGCTAAAAACATTTGCTTCTAGTGAATTTTGTTATTATAGCATTAGCGGTTTAGGAGATATGCACATTAAACCTATTAGAGGCGGGACCACGCCCACTTTTCAAAAAAAGTTTTAACTGCAGATGCCCCTCCTTAATGTGATCCTGTGTACCAAATAACAGTTTTGTATCTTATTGCGGAGCTTAGTTATGGCAAGTTATTTGTTTTTGATTAATGGCGTTTTGTGGGCGTGGCAGTGGTCCGATTACGCCCATCTGCAATACCAACCGTCTCACGGTACCAAGAAACATGTCTACCAAGTTTCATAAAGATATCTCAATTTTTACTCAAGTTAGAGCTTGCACGGACGGACGGACGGACGGACGGACGGACGGACAGACAGTCACCCGGATTTCAACTCGTCTCTTCATCCTGATCATTTATATATATATAACCCTATATCTAACTCGATTAGTTTTAGGTGATACAAACAACCGTTAGGTGAACAAAACTATTATACTCTGTAGCAACAGGTTTCGAAAGTATAAAATAACGGGTGCAGTGACAAAGGTGCGGTGCCAAAAAGTGAACAAAAAACAAAAAAACAAAAAGTGCAGTGTAATATATAGAAATATATATATAAATGTTATATGTGCATATAAAGAAAATATATGGACATATATATATACATACATACATAAGAATGCAAAAAGTGAAGTTAAGAGTTCAGTGACCCAACATATGTTCGAACACATACACGTTCATATATAACATAAAAGTGGAAAAGCGGCAAAACACATTAAATGTGCCAAAAAACAAAAACATAAAATCAAAAAATACTTAAACACAAAAACAAACGGGCGCGGGATTAACAACAAAATATATATAGATCCAAAAACACAGGGAGAGAGCTGCACAACAGGCAACAGCTGGCGTTAAGGAAAAATGGGCAAACACAAAAAAACCTCAAAAAAAAAAAACACATACATTCTCTCCAAAACCCCCTTGAGGCGAGACAAAGTAAGTGTATCGTTTTCATTTTTTTATTTATTACATATGTATGTTTGTAAATCCTGTATATGATTAAGACTAGAAAAATCCGTTTTAACAGTTTGAAACCACGGGTACAGGAAACGTTAACGGAAAATATAAAAAAAAAAAACGGATCTAAAAATTTGAGTACTATATACTTATACTTAAACGGAAAATTCCGAAAAACCGATACATAAAAAAAAACAAAAAAAAATCGGGTGAATATACTTATATACATATATAATTATATTTACAGATATATTATATTAACAAATTATTGATTGCCTTAACTTATGCGCTTACATTTGTATATATATATATATACACAACCACAAAATAAAAAATAAAAATTCAAGTATTTACTTGCAAAGAATTTCCGGCAGTACCCCTTAGGCTTAATAAAGCAATAAGCAGGGCTGCGTAACTATAAGTAAGCTAAAGGCACAATAACAATTACAGCTAGAATCTACAGCAAAAAGACAAAAATACTAACATACATATATATACATTCAATCGGCAAACAATATGCAAATTGCATTTACCGATAAATCTTAACTAAACATTCACTTTTTTTTAAATATACAACTATATCAGAATATATTAACATAAGCGCAGTCGGTAAAATACCTGTGTATTACAATTTTTATTTTTTTCTCCACACTCTTTTCTCACGCCGAAAAATAAAGGCATACGACCTGCCTATGCTCACATACCCCATATACAGTGGGTACAAATACATATTTTTATTTAATTTAATCATTTAAATATCGGTTATTTTAAAATTAACTAAACGGTGCGGTTAAATCATAGCAACAAATAAATAAATAGTTTCATTATACAAAAAAAAAATTTATTTTGCTAAAAGAAAGCTAAAAACAATAATATAAAAAAATTCTCAAATAAAAATTTCTTCAAAGTCCATTTTGGCAAATATCCCGCAATACCCCTTGTTCTTTGGCAAACAAACACAAGCAGGATTGCGCACAAACATTTCAGCACAATAATTCGTGTATACCTAGGTACAAAGTGCATTGATCTCTTTAACGAGCTCTCAATTACTCAAGTACATAAATACATATCTACAAGTCCACGCATTAGGGTGTACCTACATACCCCTATATAAGGACATAAAAACGATAAATAAATACAAGTCCGAATGTTAATAAATTAAAAAATAACCAGTAATTATAAAAAACTAA